AGAGAGAGAGAGAGAGAGAGAGAGAGAGAGAGAGAGAGAGAGAGAGAGAGAGAGAGACTGTCATCTGAATTTGTCTGTCTCATTCTCTCTCTCCATGCATATACTTGGCTATATATTTATTTAAATGTATATAGCTGCCCATATAAATTAATGATTCTGGATGGACAGCAGGAGTTGAAAGCACCATAAAAACCTACCCCAAATAAAAAGACACAAAAATATAGTACACATAATCAGCAGCTGAGGTATAAATAAAACCACTACCAATATATGAACATAGCAAATGAACAAGCAGAAAACAATAATCAAGTAGACTAGAATAACAGAGTTGGGTGGGACCTTGGAGGTCTTCTAGTCCAACCCCCTGCTCAGGCAGGAAACCCTATATCATTTCATACAAATGGTTGTCCAATGTCTTCTTAAAAACTTCCAGTGTTGGAGAATTCACAACTTCTGGAGGCAAGTTGTTCCACTGATTAATTGTTCTAACTGAGTAGGTGCCAATGAGAAAACAACATTCCCACCAACAGTGGCAGGGTAATCTAGAGTATATAAATAGGGAGGAAATTTTTTATTTAGCATATGGCACATGTTAGCCAGGGACCACCAACGTGGCTGGTTGCCTCTGTGAAAAGAATTTTTTCGGGTGCTGTTATTTTACCCATATTACCTGTACTACCTGCATGCCAGTAGGCAAATCCTGTCCCTACGTGGTTTATTCGCTCACGGGAATTGAGCTGCTGAGCTGCCTGCCTCGGTGTAGTGCAGGCTCAGCATCTTGCCACGTGGGCCACCAAGGCCCCCAATAGGGAGGAAAATCTGCACTCACTCATACCAATGAAGTTACGTAGCAAATAATCAGGAGACTACTAAGGACTCCATAGTTCAAGCTATCAATTATATTTTCTTCTATTCTCATCAGCAAAACTTTGACAGAGCCTCATAAGAAATGTTATATTTCAGATAGCTAAGTATAGAACAAAACATTTCATGAGTAAAATATAGTTCCATGTTGTTAGCCTATTAAATTTTAAATGAGTATATCTTCCTTAGTAATGGTTTAGGGGAAAACCCCTCTTCTATTTTGTTTATTTATTTTCTGTTTAATCATGTCTGATTCTCAGTGACTGTCTAGACATGTTTTCTTGGCAATGTTTTTCAGAAATGGTTTGCCATTGCCTCCTTCCTAGGACTGAGAGAAAGTGACCAGCCCAAGGTCATTCACCTGGCTTTGTACTCTAAGGCAGGACTAGAACTCACATTCTCCCAGTTTCTAGCCTGATGCCTTACACATTGCTCAGAACTGGGTCTAATTACTATGTAACTATTGCATTATACCAAACTTTTATTATATGCTTTTCAATGAAAGGACAGGTTAAAATAGCANGCCAGGGAGGGCAGACCATTTTTATCTAGTCCTCCAGGACACTAACCCGGTTACCACGTATGCAGTGGCAAAGTTCTGTGCGGCTGCAATGTCCATAAGAAAAAAAAATGGCTACAGAAGTATAGTTGTCATCTGGTACCAATTATTTGAACATATCTCTAACAATCTTTGGACCATTGTATTTACTCCTATACTTAACAGGTAAACCAGGGAGTGACCCGAACAATCTGAGAACATGTATGTTATCTTCCACTTTTAACGTCAATACTTTTTAACTATATCTTAACGTCAGGACTTTTTAACATAGTGTAAAAACGAATGTGTACTGCTGGTCTTTGACCGTAATAAAGATTTACTTACTTACTTAGCAACTGTGGCAAGAGGTTGTAAAATGGGGCAAAACTCACTTAACCAATGTCTCAACAAAAAAGTTGGGCTCAATTGTCATAAGTCAAGGATTACCTGTATATCTGAAGAACCATCTCACCCCAATGGAACTAGCCCACCTCCATCGAGACAGCGGAAGAGGCCTGCCACGGATCCTATCTGCTAAGGAATTCCAGTGGGCAGGGAAAATGTCTTTTTCGCTGTGGCCCTGTGCTTGTGGCACACTCTACCACTGGAAGTCAGGACTGGTCCGATCCTTTTGGCCTTTCAAAAGGATATAAACACTTGGGGCCCCGGAGGGATGTGTGTGTGTGTGTGAGCTCACTACGAGAGGTGGCTGATGCGGAAGACCTCATCCCTGTGCCATCCATCTCTTAGCCTTTTTTTTTTGCAGTTTTAATATTTTAATTTTTTTTTTTACTTGTCTTCTTATAATTTGTTAAGAGTTGCCTCATAGGGGAGATGGGCAGCATAAAAATATAACAAAAAAGTACTCGTTTTTTTAAAGATTAGCTATCCATAACCAAAACATAAGCAAACCTATATAAGTATCTTTGGTTTTACATTATTCAGTGGATATCAGCTATGTGCTGTCTGGTGCTCTGCAATTTCTGAATCTACCTTGTATATCTTGGTTCTTGTTGCATGTGCTATTAAAATGCAAACTGCAAAATCTTCAGCATTATTTCAGATGTCAGAGAAGTGCAATTGTTCAAGAGTTTCAGCTATTTCCTCTTGTTTGATATTGGAATAAAAATGGATTGCTTCTAGATTCTGCTTGTGTTTTTCCATACTTGTTTAGAAACTGCACAAATTATTTTATAAGATTTAAACTATAAGATTTATATTATTTTGCTGGTAATTAATCAATTGAGAAGCAGCATTTTAACTTCACTTCCCAGACTGCCTGCTTCTAGTTCAGTGATCTTAATATGCATCCTTGATTTGGGGCCATTTTTCTACAGCTTTTCATATATCCACACTGTCTTTCTCCAATAGATCTTTGGCCTATTCTTGCCTTTCCTCAGCCCATCTTTGCATAAATGGTCCTTTGATTGATGTAACATGCTTAAATAATGCTTTTGTCCTGCCCATTCAGTTGTTATCAATTCATTTGTGTTGTTTAGACAGACGTAATTTTTGGTCTTTTTCTCTGCAATTCAGCAGTTGGGCAAATTCTCCTCTGTTATCTATTGCCCTTTGTTTCTACAGCTGTTCCCAACTTATCATCCCATAGTCTACTTGCTTTTCACATCTGGCGTTATTTTTGTTTCATTGTTAAGGGTATCACACATTTCGCCCAGAAATCTTCTGTAGGAGAGCTCTTCAACAGCCACGCCATCTGCCTCTGTGATTGGAGCACAGAGGCCGCTGTTATTGCCTTGGATTCATTTGAAATCATTTTCTAATGTACCTGAGCACTGACTGTGATCCCCTTCTGCTAACATTGGTGGCTATTCCATTTCTTTTGTGCTTTTCTCATCCACAGCAGAAGATGCAAAAGTTTTACTGGTGTGAAGGCAGGTGGTTCAGGCCATTCATTTTACAGATGCCCAAAACTTTAATGTTCGGTCTTGACATTTCTGCTCTGCAAACATCAACTTGGCCTTGGTTCATGGATCTGATGTTCCATGTACCAACAGTACATGAAACTTTGGAGCATCAAACTTTCCTTTTGCTTCTGGAAAGATCAGTAGCTTAGCATCTTTTCAATCCAGCACCAATATTAGTCATGATTGCCCTCTGCTCTTCCTCAGTAACTGGTTGGAAACCTTCTATCCTGGGAGGCTTCCAGCATGCGTTGATTTATGACCATTGGCAGAAATCTGGGGCTAGATTTTTTTTTCCCCATTCCTTTTTGTATTTTCCATAAATACATGCCAGTTGCCAAGCCTGAATTTTGATCATGTGACCTTGGGGATGCTGCAGAGGTGAGTTCCTACCAGTTCACACCTATTCGGTAGAACCGGTTCGTCAAGTTTACCGAACCGGTTAGAAGAGGTTCCACCAGTGGACCCGGAAAGCAGGCCACACCTACAGAAGAGGTTCCAAAATTTTTTGAAACCCACCACTGGTCCTCGGATATGATTATTCTACACTATCATGCTCCTATTTATAAAACTCAGTGCCTCTGTGAAAGGTAAGGATGACTACTGCGTTTGTGGTGCAATCAGAACATTGCGTGTGTTGAAGTTGTTTTAACGCAAACCAAAGGTGCCTTTTAATAAACAAGTTTACATCCTATTCTTATGCATGCCGGTGCTGTGTGTGAGGTAATTTAAGGTGTTTCTGACAAGTGTCGTCGGCACCTTCATATCCGGTCACATGGGCAAGCCACTCCCATCCGGTCACATGGGCGGCAAGCCACTCCCACAAAGGAGGCCACACCCACAGAGTAGGTTCCAACAATTTTTGAAACCCACCACTGGGATGCTGCAATGACCACAAGTGGTCATAAGACACTTTTTTGATTGCCGCTGTAACTTTGGACAATCACTGAATTGTCATAAGTCAAGGATTACCTGTATGCAAATAGCCACACCTTTATGAATAATTGATATGAATAATACCATCAGCAACACTAACCAATTGCATAGACTTCTACTTACCAAGAAACAACAAAACAAGGATGATTATAAGTACGACAAAGAAAGTGTTTCCGTAAATCACAAGGAGATGCACCAAACGGGACTTGAAGATTTTCTGCCACCTGTAGAAAAATTTCCAACATTAAAAGGGGGGGAAATACACCCATCAGACTGCAATGCATGTTACATCATGGCTTAGCAAACGTTTTAGATATTGGCTGCTGCCTCCCAAATAACTTTTAAAAATGACTGAAAAGTCATGGTTATGACAATTATACTGCCAAGGACAAAAGGGCACAGGAGGCAAAGGCATAAAATGAAACATCATGTGACCCATGCCTGTCATATGTTAATTCATCATTTCTGACTGTGGTTAAGCAGGACGTCGCATGCTTACCATTTGCAAAGTTCTGCCAGCTTCCCCATTGGCTTCGCTTGTTGGAAGATGGGCATGAAGCACCCAAACGGCCATCATGTAACCACAGAACACTATGGCCACCATGAATGCATGCCAACTGCCAAGCACCCAAATTGCGAAGTGACCATGGGAACATTGTGACAGCCGTAACAACTTCACGGGACAGTTGTCTCCTTTTTTTAGTGCAGTTATGACTTTGACCGGTCACTGAGCAAGTGGGTGGTAAGTAAGAACTCCTTGCACTACTCATTATTTTAAACTTGCAAGCCACGCGTAGGGTTTTTTTGGGGGGTAAACAGTTAGTCCTCGACTTACAACTGGTGATTTAGTGACTGTTCAAAGTTACAATAGATCCTGAAAAAAGTATCTACAACCCAGATTTCCCAACCATGGGGAAGGTGGTTGAATTTCCAACCACCTCCCCATGGTCAAGAGACCGTATTTTGGGTGCTGGGCAACCAGCCTGGATTTATGGCTGTTTGCAGCATGCTGTAGTCACATGACCACAATCTACAGTTTTGGTGGAAACTGGCTTGTATTTCTGGTATCCATAAAATAAAATAAAAACCAACCCTCCCAGTAACAAGGGTTTGCTTAAGGAGGAGGGAGGAGCTGATGTCACGACGATATGAGGTGCGATCTTGGAGCTCCAAGATCGCAGTCGATATCTCTGCCACTGGACGGTCCTTTTGGACCTAAAACGTCCCGTAGAGACAGTGATAGAGGAGGGCACATCCTGCTGATCTCAGGGACATGGCAAAGTCCCTGATTGATCCAGGAGAACCTTTTTTTTCCGGCGACAGAGACGCAGCCATTGAAGCTGCTGAAGTTGGGACAGCTCCAGAACAGAAAGAAAGTGGGAAAGTGTGTCGAATTGGTGAGAAAAATTTTACTATTAGAGATCACCCCAAAAAACCAAAAGTTAAATTAAAATTGAAGACAGAAGAGAGTAAGTGGCGAGATTAAGCCAGAATTAAACTTAGTGTGTTATCTTTTAATTTTTTCTTTTTACAGAAGAGTTTGCTTAAGGCTTGCTGCAAAAAAAGATCATGAAATCAGGTGATGCTCTACTTAACGACCATCATAGTTTACAATCATAATTGCAGGCTAATTATGGTCGTAGTTAGAGGACTGCCTGAAAGCCTCAAAACCTGGTTATCACCTTTAAAGCCCTACATGGCCTAGGACCTGGATACCTCCGTGACCGCCTCCTGCCACATACCTCCCAGCGCCCGATAAGATCTCACAGGATGGGACTTCTCCGGGTGCCATCAACCACATAGTGTCGACTGGCGGCGCCTCGGGGGAGAGCCTTCTCTGTAGCTGCCCCAGCCCTATGGAATGATCTACCCCCTGAGATCCGGACTGTCCCCCCTCTCTCGGCCTTCCGAAAGTCTACTAAGACCTGGCTGTTCCGGCAGGCCTGGGG